TTCCTTCATTTTGTGTAGCATCTTCACTGCATTTGTTCTGGAAGCTTTTATGCTGGAATATTCTGCAACCTATGGGGGCAAGTTAGAATCACAGCTTGAGAAGAAGATTCATGAAATGGGTCTTAGCCTAAGAAAGTAAGTATATTAATGTCATTTTAGTTAATTACATGTTTACAATAATATATACAGTGTCACGTGGCTACTCACATGTACAAAGAAAAACACATACAAATCTCCCCTGCACCCCCCCCCCCACAACACACACACACACGCACACACACGCGCACACACGCAACACACACACACACACACACACACACACACAACATATGCACACGCACACAACGCACACACGCACACGACACGCACACACACACCACACACACGCACACACACACACACACACACACACACACACACACACACACACACACACACAACACACACACACACACACACATATGACCCATACACGCATGACCCATACACACACATGACACACTCACATACACACATGACACACTCACATACACACATGACACACACACACACACATGACACACACACATGACACACACACACACACAATCACACACACATAATCATACACACACAATCATACTCACACAGTCACACACACAGTCACACATAATCACACACACAGTCACACACACAGTCACTCACATAGTCACACACATCACACACAATCACACGCGCACGCACACACACACGCACACACACGCATGCACACACCACGCACACACACGCATGCACACACGCACAGCACACACACGCATGCACACACGCACACACGCGCACACACACACACACACACACACACACACACACACACACACACACACACACACACACACACACACACACACACACACACACACACACACACACACACACACACACACACACACACACACACACACACGATGACCCATACACGACCCATACACGACCCATACACACATGACCCATACACCATGACCCATACACACATGACACACACACATGACACACACACATGACACACTCACACACACACATGACACAGATCTTTGATAATTTGCAATATTTTTTAGGAAAAAGAAGAAAACGACAACTAGCCAAGAGGAACTCGTGATTGAGTCAGACAGTTCTGATGGAGAGGATGAAGTAGATTTGCCCCAGAGTGTAGGACCAGAAAGTTATGCAGATGTCACCCAGGAAGGATCGTCTAATTTTTATGGAACTCCACAGAACATCTCAGGGGAAACAGATGTCAGATTCCACATATCCAAAAGTAAGTGGTAGATGATTTTGAGAGCTGGTATATTTATCAGGAATGATGTCACATCAATTTTCTTTTGTAGTGTAAGGATCTGATCCTGCTCAATTTAATGTCTTTGCTATACTGAAGTATTATTGAATGAGAGTACTAGTAGTAATCTGTGTGTTTATCATCCAGAACTAAAGAATGTCGAGGTTCTCCTGCAGAAGATGTTTGAAAAGGAATTAGAGGAAGATGAGTTGGGACCAGATATTTCAAACCTGGAAGAGGATATAGATGACCATTTACATTCCTTTCCAACACAAGGGCACAGTTCTTGGCACACATGATATTTCTTGTCTTTATCTTAAGGTTGAAACCTTGAAATTCCTTCTCCAGTAAAATGAACAGTTTAAAGTTCTATATTTATATTATTTATTACTAATTTGATAGTTCTGCTCTAGTTTCTCATATCTGTTTAATTTTGTGATGTTGATTTATGTGATATTGTCTTTGATAAGAAATATGTGAATAAATTGTTGATAAAATCTTGATGCATACTTTCTGTTTGTGATTTGGTGACATTTTGATAATTTTGTTGTATTTGAGTATCATTTTGGTAGATAATATTGATTAGAAATCAGTGACTTGACTGTTACACTAAAATAAGCTGCTAATTATATAATAATGTTATCAACTTGTATTAATTTTAAGTGTTATGCTAATCTTTATGTTGACAGTTTGATTAGTATGTATTAACTTTTTGCTGATATGTTTATATGTGGTATACTTTATAGCCATTAAAGATATATTACCAAAGAACTAGGAACATAAAGATTTATAAACCAAAGATTGCAAAATCAGATAATAACCAATGATGTTGAAATGATATGTTCAAAATAGGAAATGTGCTCTGTGTTATTGCTAAACTTCTAGATAAGACATTATTAAAAGTATATGCCAGGTTATGAAAAAGTTTTGTTTTAACACTTATCACCACGCTCTTACCAAAGTATAAAAACCTTTGTCAGTATTTATTTTGGTCCTTTCAAATAACTTGAATTATGGTGTGATAGCAGTTCAGATTTCACATTGTAATATATATTGAAATTAGAGAAATCCAGAAAATACAATATTTTCTTTCAGTTTTTCTTTCACTTTCCCTATTCTTTATAGAACATTAATAAGAAATGCATAATAATGATGGCCATATAAATAGGCATGAATTATAAGGTGTTTCTTCTTTGAGATCACAGTGGTACTTTTTATACTAATTGTTCAGTGTTCTTTACCCATTTGAAAGACTAAGCATAGTTTGGTTGATCTTTCACAATTACTGATATTCAAGTACTTAATTTTTGTAAACAAGTTTGCCAGATAGAAATTTTGTTTTATTTCTCAAGTTCTGACATATTGCCTGAACAGTGATTAATGATTAACCCTTTAGATAAGGTCGTATGACGGAAATCACGGAGCTGAAAACCTGGGCAATGGGTTACATAAGTGGCCAATGTCCCGGGCATGCAGCGCGTAGGCCAGGCACGCACGAACACCCATGAGCGGTGACAAGACTATGCCTCCCCTTTGAAAAGTTATTTTGTGTAAACTTTTTTAGCTTTATCGCCATTTTCCAGTGTCCACATTTGTCTTTTGATTTGCTTTATCCAGATGGACTTCATATCATCTGCAAGCAAAAAAAAAAATGGAACATTTGGCTATTTGTGTTACATCTCATTTTTTTGTAATTTTCAATTTTATGTAATACAACCTGCGCCGCTAATAAAAGCGGCCAGGAATATGGTGCGCAGCATGGAATTGGCGTCCTCCCTGGAGCCGGTGCTCTTCCAGTCACTACTTATGCACGCTACATTCCACATTCGTTTACTGAGTCAAATCGCACTCCAAGAGGTTTGTGTACTCGTGGCAAGTCTTTTCCGTCACTCTGGCCGGTCACGACGGCATTTTGTGTAACCTGGGCCGTGGCCAATTTGCCCGGTTGACGGCATGCTCACGTCACCCGCCCCTCGGCTTGGGTTTTTCCGTGACGTGACCGCAACTTCATTTGGGTCCAGTGGGTTAAAGGTCACAAAGCAAAATAAATATGCTTGACATCAAAGGTCATATAGTACTATAGAAAGGTGTAGTAGTGAAAAGAGTAATGAGAGGGGTTAGTTGAAGATTAAATGTGCTACATGACAAAGTCATATAGTTCAGGGTAGCATGGCATTGAAAGGGGCAAAGAGGGGTAAGGGTAGAGAAAGTGAGTAAATGGGTTAAGTGTGTTATTCTGCAGGGATGTCCATAGGGAAGGTGGGGATAAGAAAAAATGGAGACGGCATCTAAAGGTGATTAGATCAAGTTTTAAAAGAAATGTCAGGATGGAGAGAATCTTTTTTTTTTTTTTTTTTTTTTTGTGACACGGAGTTTATATACCTGCCCATTACCTTGCTCGTTGTCATCGTGGGAGGGCTTAGGAGATGAAGACTGAGACCCAATGTAGGGGATTACCCCTACCTTGGGCCTCAGCCAGAAAATACAATATTTTCTTTCACTGTTTTTTTCACTTTTCATATTCTTTATAGAACATTAATAAGAAATGCATAATAATGATGGCCATAATTTTGCTTGGTCTTTTCTTCTCTTCTTTCCTCTTCAGTATCTTCTTTATTCCCTTCTATCCCATTCCTAAGGTATGGGAGCCGTGCTGAAAGGATGAATAGGTTGCTTTGTGTCAGTCACAAACGGCCTCGGAGCCCATGGCACGGTATTCCATTTGTTAATTGCCTAGCTATCACCCATTATGGGGACCCTGAGGGGTAGACCATTTCTTTTCCCCATTTTATTCAGGCTCATCATGGCCAATAATAAAGATTCTTTACCCTTGATAGGGGCATTAAGGCTTACCCCTTCATCAACTAGCCTATCTGAATTTTATTTTGATGGTTTTCAGACCCCTGCCCCTTCCTTGACCATGGCTCTGAAAACTGATACTAATACCCCCATTTTGAAGCTTACAAACAACTCTAACCATTTCAAAACACCAAACCAGGTTATTACTCAACCTCTAGAAAACACCCCTTTTTCTTCTCCAACATTCTCCTCTTCTTCTCCTGCGGCACAATCGTTTTCAATGTCAATCCCCTCTTCCCTTATTACTACTATTCATCCTTATTGTCCTCCCCCTGCAGAACAACTCCACTCCAAACCACCCAATCTTCCTCTCGCCCTTATCCTTCTACTGTCTCTACCTCTGAAAACCTGCTGAGTACTCTCTGTCCCAGCCAAGTGGGATCAATTCTTTGTGATTCCCCCCACAGCCCCCTATTCTGAGATTACCCTTCTCTTTCAGAGTGCTCTAGAAACAAGTAGGCAAGGTTACCTTTCGCAAATCGCTCACAGTTAATTCTGAATCCAAATTGTACACTATCTACCCTACTATCTGGTCATACTGTGAAAATGACCTACTTTCCTATCTTGCTGAATATGATGCAGTGGCAATCCAGTGTTACACTATTCTCCAGAGGCCACAGCATAAGTCCCGCATCAAATATTGCCAGATAGCTTCCATAGACAAGATCTCCCCCCCATGAGATTTTATATTGGTGGATTGTCTTATCATGTCTGACAATATCGATCCCTTCCTCGTCAATGTCAGAGACATACCCTACCCTCTATACTGCTCCCACTTGAATACTCCCACAAATTCCCTCTATCTCAAGTGCCCTTCTCCAGACCCCTCCCCTCCAGACATTCTTCCTGATACTTCAACTTCCCCAGTCCCCCTTTCTCATCCCCTGGATTTTTCTCCTCCAACTTCTCTGTTTTCCTTGATCTATGTCCCTATTCCTTCTCCAGTCACAGATACACTGCAATTCACTCAATTACTCTACCCCTTATATTCCCCTACCTCTTCCCAAAATACCTCATCCTCTCCCCCCCCCCCAAAAAAAAAAAAAAATCTTTTCCACATGCCTCATCTTTTCAACCACCCAAACCAATCCCCCCCCCCCCCTAAACCCTTCCTTCCCTACTATCCCTCCCACTCCCTCCTGGATACACACGTGAATCTCTTTTATCACAATACCCTTCCCCAGACCCCATCTTCCCTATTGAACACCCAGACACTACTTCATCCTGTATCTCAACCCTCAGATACCTATTTCCCTACTATTAAGACAACCATATCTACTGTTATCACTTATTATCCCTATTCCATCTCCAGTTATAGATATAATGCAATTCACTTAATCGCTCTACCTCCTTAACTTTTCCCATTTTGCTAATCACTGCTCTACTGTACTTACTTCCCTCCTTTCCCTTTTTGTTACCATACTTTCCTATAATACCTTCTCATCTTGAACATCCAACACCTTCCCCTCTCCCTGGATACTTCTACTTTTTCAACAGCTATCTCTATTCTTCCTTGAACATTTTTCCTATACCTTCCCTAGTGTCAGATACACTATAATTCACTCAAATGCCCTACCTTCTTAACCCTCCCCTTTCTCCTAATTTCTGCTCTAGTTCACTTGCTCCCCTTTTCCCCTTTTCACTACCATACTATCCTGTAATCCTCTCAAACCTTTGACATCTAATACATTTCATCATTATCTTTAACTCTCTTTTGCCCTTTCTGACGCAATACTTTACCATAGTGCTATATGACCTTTAATGTCTAGCACATTTATTATCAACATTAAAACATCTTGATGAAGAACCAAGCAGGATTGTCATAGATACAAACGGTTACAAGATCATTATCAGATTCACCTCTGTCTTTATATACCTCTATTGCAGAATATAATGAAAGGAGCCATTTGAAAAAGTGATGTTTTGGTTGAAAACTTACCATCCCTCTACTGGCTTGGAATACTTAAACAACAAAAAGAAAATGAAAGACATCTAAGGCTTTGGTGATATTTATTATGAAACAAGACTTCATAAGCAGTCAGAGTTATGCAGGAGACTATGATTATCAATGTAACGGCACAGATGTTACGAGATCAGCGAGTCTGAGATGAATATCAAAGATCCTCAAGCTCACATATATTATATTACCCAGGAAGTGTGACTGATGGTGAAGAAGCAGACCTAAGTGTTAGAAGTGTTAAAGTAACACTTGTAATTTGCTTATGACTTTTTTTCCATTAATCTTTCAATCTATTGATTTAGTATGAGAAAGCAATCTTCTTTTTTCATATAGTAAGACAATATCATAGTACAATTATGGAGAAAAATAGACTTGTGCAGTGATACTTAATAATAATTCTTCATTTTTATATACACACAGGATTACATACAAAAATTTGACCAACCATAAAATATACTGTGACAAAAATGACTTACTCTGGATTGATTCAATAGTCATATCTTATTATTTCTAACAACTTGGTAAAAACAGCAATGAGAATGGGTGTCACTGTAAAAGGAGATTGCACTTGTTAGTGAAGAATAATCAAATAAAGACTGACAGAATCATTTACTATCCTATATGAAAGTATGTATGCAATAACTCCTTCAACAGAAAACTGACAAGATGAGCAGATATCACTTAACAGTTATGGTGAGTTTTTAATATGACAACGGTGATGTCCTTTGGCAGTGAGGGTGAACAATACTGTGGCTGAACTGGACACTGCATCTCCATAAGTGTAAACTTTGATGTCATAAGAGTGGTAAATCTAATACCCTGATTTACTTAAATATATAAGTATATAGTTGTATATATATGTCTGTGTGGATGTGTGCATGCACACACTTGATTAAAGTCTTTGTATGGTGCATGTACTTGCATATGTAAATGCATATATGAGCATGTGCATAAACAAAATAATTAATATAATACAATTAACAAATGAAGTAGGCCATTAATATAATGAAACCTGGATTGCAGAGTATGTGCAATAAACAGTAAGACCCCAAAGTCATAAATAATATTTTGCTATGGCTACAAGGATGCAGCACGATGGAGATACGTTGTCCCAGGACTAGACATTATGATTGCTCAATAGTTGGACACCACACAACGTGCGAAGTCATACATCATAGCTCATAGAAGAAACTTATTGATAAAGCTAATCCCTTTGTTATTTTATGAAAAAGATCACACAAAAAAGGAATATGATTAATATTTCAGTTTCAGTTGCTACTGTTCTAGGGTATAATACATTCGCAGTTCATGACTATTAATTGTTATTAAGTATCAACCAGGTGGGCTATATCTGCAAGACCCCATGTGAACAGCTGTGTGCATATTTACTGTTAGTAGAATTCGTAGTAGAAAAATGAGCGGATGCAATATTCACAGTAAAGACAGACAGAAAAAAGCCAATTGTGCTACTGTCAGTAAAATGACACATCTGCTCTGAATTATAGTTATAAAACTGGTCCCTAGTTTAGCTCTACATGAGAAAGTAAGCTAAGCCAAACATATATTAGCACCTTCAAAAATATCACCGTTATAATATTAATTTATTCTAGTACTACAACTCATTCAGCTTTACAAATGACTAATGTTACTAACTAATAGGAAAGAAAGCACTAATGACTACTAAGTACACTAAACTTCAATGTACATAAAAAAAAAAAAAAAAAAAAAAAAAAAAAAAAAAAAAAAAAAAAAATGCATATCATTCTACATATGCAAAATTTTGCTAGATGTTTTATGTTTTATTAAAGAACCACTTTCAATATTCCTTATTGACCCATAAAGCAGTCTTTAATACTCTTAACCAATTTATCCTTGAATTATTCTATTGTATAAAATAATTTTATTTTGATTATCTTATAATCACCACAATTTCTTCATAAATAGCTTTACACTGAAAACCTGTAACAAGAACTTTACTGCTCTATGCAGCATACAGTACCATAATATATCTTTGAGCTTTTCAAATATAACTTACAAAATATCATGATAAAAGTGTTCTTTGCCTATCAATCTTAAAGATGGAATAAAAATCTGCATTACAACTCTATACATGTCACTACATTAAGTTTTGTCTTAGTGTGTAACAATGATCCTAATGTTTACATCAAGATCATTGTTTGTATCTTCAAGATTATTATAATCCAGTGGATGCCCACTGATCTCCAAGTCAAAGGTTTCTGGTCGGTGTAGACGACGGTGGAAGTGTAGAGATGTTGTCCCATGGCGAGACTTCATATCAAATACTTTGTTTTCATTTCCTTTGACTATTTCATATTTAACATTGTTCTGAAAGTAGAAGGGTTGTTAAAAGTTAACATGGAGTAAAATCAAATACTAAATGCAGGAAGTACTTAAAAAAAAAAAGACAAAAATAATTTCTGAACACATTCCTCACTATTTTTAATTCATAGAATAATAATCTTGATATGATAATGATTGTATAATTAAAAGACACATCAGTAAAATATGATTATACAAAATATATCAAACCCTCAATTCAAAACAGGTCTCTGAGTCCCTCTTAATACCCATTGCTAAAAAAAAAAAAAAAAAAAAAAAAAATATTATATATATATATATAATATATATATATATATATATATATATATATATATATAATATATAATATATATTATATATATATATATATAATATATATATAAATATTATATATTATATATATAATATATATTATATATATATATATATATATAATAATAATCATATAATATATATTATATATATATATATATAT